AATTCTGTCAGTTTTAGCTTCATATATTTTGAAGTTCAGTTGTTGGGTATGTAGGAGAGCAGAAATGTTCCTCTACCCTTCTAGGTTCTTTCAGCTGATATAATAATCAAGTTTATGTAAGATAGATTAACAGGAGAAAAGCAAATTTAATTGTGTAGGTACAGAGGCCTGATAGGTATAGGACCTAAGACCAAAGCAGGCTGGCTGTATACCTTTTTAGACCAAGAATCAAAGTTTTGTGAGGATTTGTGAAAACAAAGGGGTTTTTGGTTGAGGTAGCAAAATAATGAAGAATTAACAAAGTCTGTTTATACAGCTTTCTTGGCCTTGAATTCCCCATCTAGGACAATGAGGATGCCCTCCATCCTTCCAGAATAGGGAAGATACCTTCCCATGGAAGCTTGGTTTCCTGCTTTTAGGGGAACAAAGGAGGGTCAGAGGGTTCTTCTTATATCAGCTGTTTCTTAAGTAACTTTAATTCAAAATAATCAATATGCCACCTTGGTATATTTTGAGGCAGCTTGCCCCAATCCCCATCAGTTACATAGGGATTTAGAATTGTTATATTTTCCTGGTGAGTTAAATATTTATTATTTAAATTGTCCCCCCTCAGCTCTAATAGGGTTTTTTACTTAAAATCTATTTTGTGTTATTTCATAGCTTCCTCTCTGTTAGTTTGTATGGCCTAACGTTTTCTTTCCCTTAAAACCTTTTGCTTTCAAGCCATTATATTTATACCTTGTAAACAGCTTGGAATCAATTTTGTTTTTTAATCCAGTTGAGTGATCTTTGTCATTTAAGTGGAACATTTAGTACATTTATATTTAATATAGTTACTGATATATTACAGAATGTTTTCTATTGTCCAACCTGTTTTTTCTTCTTTTTCCTTTATTTTTTGGTATTACTTTGGATGAATTGAACTAAAGAGTTCTTGAATGTCTCATATTTTTCTCTAGGAGTTTGAAGGTTTTACTCATATTCTTTCATTATTTATATGGTTATTACATCCATCCTTGACTTACCAAAGTCAAATATTAGTATTTTTAACCTCTTTATGGATAATCTGAGGACTTTAATGTTAGCTACTTTACTGCTATTTATCCACTCCTGAGTAATATGACATCATGTGCTTTAATTTTATATGCTGCAAAAGCAAATGATACATTAGTGTTATTTTGTACATTTAATATCCATTTTGACATATCCACATATTTACTGTTTTTGTTGCTTTTCACTCTTTTCTCCATCTTGTTGTTTCATCTGGGATAATCTTTCTTCTATTTAAAGAACCCTCTTTAATGTATTCTTTAGTGAGTATCTGCTGGTGACAAATTCTTTTAGTGTTTTAGAATAAAAATGCCTTTATTTTGCCTTCATCGGGAATTACTTTTTTTTTTTTTTTTGGGAATTACTTTTTTTTAATTTGCCAGTTTGACAGGTGATAACGGTATTACATTGCTTTAATTTGCATATATTTTATATATTTACTACCTTTCTCTTTCTTTTCTTAGGTACTTAATTTCTTACAAGGTTAGGAGCACCTTTTTCTTTTTTCTGGAGATGAACAGATGCATTATTCACATAACTGAGGTTAAAGTATGACGTATGCTTAGGGTAACTTATCTGCTTCTTGTTCGCGTACAAAGAAACAGAAACCCATCTAAGTGCTGCCTATAACTAATAAATTAACTCTTTATATGGACAAGCACATTATTAATACCACCAACCATTCTTGCCAGTGACTCTGATTTCAGATAACAAACTCCTGGGCCGGCATCTTTTCCTCAACTGTGTGACACTTTGGGCATTTCTCTCCCTTCCCAGCAATGTTGCAGAAGAGGAGCTCTTCCTTTTGAAATAGCTTTCAAGGGTTGAGATAATCCTAGGTAAGCAGAAACTCACTCATTCAACCAGATATTTTATTTTGAGCACTTACATCAAAAGGTGTATTCATTCCCTTATCCCTGCTGCTTTCATTTAAGTTATCTATTTTTGGGTAACTGAGTAACTCAGAACTTAGTGGCTTAAAACAATTATGATTAATTATGTTTTGCAATATTTGCATCAGGAATTCTGGTAGAGCTCATCTGAGCAATTCTTCTCTTCCATATGGGGTGGACTGGGCCAAAAGGTACAAGAAGATGTTGCTCCCTCGTCTGGCATTGCCTCTCTGTGCCTCTCCACGTGTCCTTTCTCTCTCCATGTGGTGTCTCATCATTTAGTATTCTGGCCTCAGCATCTTTAGAGCTTGGCATCTGGCTTCCTACATCAAAGGTGTAGGCTCTTAAAGGTCTCTTGAAGACCTTGAACAAAGCTTGGCAAGAGTCACTTCCACCATATTCCAGTGGTCAAAGCAGATCACAGGGTAGGTACAGATTCAGGGGAGGGGAAATGGAATCCACCTCTTGATGGTTGGAGTGACATGGCCTGCGTGCGGGGAGAAGGAATTGATGGGAGCCATCTTTGGATACTATTCACCACTCCCCTTGGCAAGTATTTCATATTTCTTTTCTGAAGACCAGAACACATTGCTTCTTTCAAACTTGTATTTATTTTAAAGCATAAATTAGAACACGAGTTGCACATATGCTTACCCACTTGGTCCTTTCCTTATGGACTAAAGATAGAACAGACTTGTTCTAAACAGGCTGCAGTTAATGCAAAGTATGTAGGCCACCCCTATAGAAGCTTGGCTTTATAATAAAGAATTCATGTAATGCATTAGTTTTTCATTTGCTTCAGCCCTCCTGGTATTAGCCAATAAAAGAATTATACTTTTAATAACTAGTTGACACAGCTGATTTTATCGATTTTAATAAATAATCAAACATGCCTAAAAGCAAAAACATCAAACAAATGATTTAAATCCCTAAAACCTTGCCTGTGCTAATCATGAAACTCAGTTAAATGACTAAGATAAAAACAGATTAGTGTCATTAGGCAAAAAGAAGAACACGTACCAATTACAGAATGTCTTATCAGTTTGCTTAATAAAAACCTGAAGTGCGAAATGAGCAGCTGTGCTCTTACCCCTTCGTGGAATGCTTCAGGCTCTCGCTTTAAATAGTCACCCAAAGGAAACCAATAAACACAGCAAAAGGAGGAGCAAGAGGACGTCAAATGAGTGCCTGCCCTTCCTTCACTGCATTTTCTCTTTTGTTATCCTTACGAGCCCTATAAAGTTTGACAAAGATGGAAACTGACACTCACAGAGATCAAGTAAGTAGTCCAAGGACCCAGAGCTACCTAGAGATGGGCGTGGGATTCAAGCCCATCGGTGCTTCACAAGGTCCATGTGAGTTCCTGCTCCCACGCTGACTCTCAACAAGAATAAAATCGTACCTTATCATGAAAAGTGCCACTTGGGGTCAGCCCTGGGCCCATCCGATTCTATTGATGTCCTCACCATAGCGCCAAGGAGAGGATGGATGCTTTTCTCATTGATGTCATTCTCATGTCTTATGGCTTCTGTTAAACCTTCCCAACTTTTAACAACCTATTTATAATTTCATCATATATAATCTCTCAGGAATAACTGGTTCCTGAGAGGTGTATATACAGAGCACTGGTTTTTATACTTTGAAGTGTTGCTCAGAGGTTCTTAACCATTTTTGTGTTTCAGATCCCTTGAAGGTGTGACGAAGACACCTCACATTAATGTTTCTAATTGCAATACAAAGGAAACCAACTTTACTGAAATACAATTTGACTTAGTACCCCAACTTGAGTTTGCTCAAGTGAAAAAGAAAAAAAACATGTCAGGAGTGGGGGTGAATTTATTGGCTTTAAGAACTAGATCAGAGGTTAGCAAACTATGACCCATAGGCTAACTCGGGCCCATTACCTGTTTTTGTAAAGTTTCTTTAAAGACCATTATTTTCATTTGTTTATGTCTTGTCTACAGCTGCTTTCTGAGAAGGCAAAAAGTAAAACCAACAAGTCTCCCATTCTCTTATGGGAAGAGCAACCCACTTCTCCCTTGCTCTACGTGCAAACTCCATTCCAGATTTCCTTTGAATACCTAAGCATTTGACCAAAGTTTTAAAAGTGCCTTCAGTTAGGGTCTAACCAATGGCATTCTTTTTTTAAAAATTTAATTAATTTATGTATTTATTTGCCTGCGTTGGGTCTTCGTTGCTGCTCGTGGGCTTTCTCTAGTTGCAGTGAGCGGGGGCTACTTTTCTTTGTGGTGCGTGGGCTTCTCACTTGCGGTGGCTTCTCTTGTTGCGGAGCACAGGGTCTAGGCACTCAGGCTTCAGTAGTTGTGGCTTGCAGGCTCTAGAGCGCAGGCTCAGTAGCTGTGGCACACGGGCTTAGTTGTTCCGCGGCATGTAGGATCTTCCCCGAGCAGGGCTCGAACCAGTGTCCCCTGCAGTGGCAGGCAGATTCTTAACCACTGCGCCACCAAGGAAGTCCCTAACGAATGGCATTCTTTTTTTTTTTTTTTTTTTTTTTTTTG